TTATTGTAGAGACAAGGTCTCGCCAAGTTGCCCAGGCTGGTCTCCAACCCGTGGGCTCAGGCAATCCTTTCACCTCCGCCTCCCAAAGTGCTGAGATTACAGGCGTGAGCCACCATGCCTGGCAGGCAGGTGTTTTGTATGTCTTTTTTTTTTTTGAGTTGGAGTGTCACTCTGTCGCCCAGACTGGAGTGCAGTGGCCGGCCTCAACCTGCTGGGCTCCGGCGATCCTTCCACCTCAGCCTTTCAATTAGCTGGAATTACAGGCATGCGCTACCAGGCCCGGCTGATTTTTTGACTTATTGTAGAGATGAGGTCTCGCTGCCCAGGCGGGTCTTGAACCCACGGGCTCAGGAAATCCACTCACCTCAGCCTCCCAAAGGCGCGGGATTACAGGCTGAGCCACCAAGCCCGGCTGTCTTTTTTTTTTTTTTTTTTTTTTTGAGTTGGAGTCTCACTCTGTCACCCAGACTGGAGTGCTGTGGCCACTCCCGGCTACTGCAGCCTCAACCTGCTGGGCTCCGGCGATTCTTCCCCCTCAGCCTTCCGAGTAGTCGGAACTACAGGCGCGCGCTACCACTCCCGGCTGATTTTTTGATTTATTGTAGAGATGAGGTCTCGCCAAGTTGCCTAGGCGGGTCTCTAACCCACGGGCTCAGGCAATCCATTCACCTCAGCCTCCCAAAGCGTGGGATTACAGGCTGAGCCACTGAGCCTGGCTTGTATGTCTTACTGAATGCCCAACCTGCAGATCCAAAGCAGTGCCGTTGGTACTGAGTAAGTACTCAATAAGTACTTGCTGAATGAATGAGAAATGCATTCCATTGGAGATTTCCCATTTTACTATTTTACTTTCTAACTCTGGGTCTGTATTCCCAGTGGTCCCAGTGGGCTTAAGGTGAAGAGCAGTTGTCCTTTCTGAAGATACATGTACTCTTCAGCTTGCTGTAGACCTCACCTTCCCAGGTTGTCTTATACCTGATCTGGGGGGCTAGAAGGGGGCAGGGGTGAACAAGCAGTAAAGATGCGAGGTGGAACCTTAAAGGATAAATAGGAGTTTATCAAACATAAAATGGGACTAGGGCAAGGGCATTGTAAGTAGAGGAAATAAGGTGTTCCCAAAAGTATCAGAGGGTATGATGGGCCAAGCATGGCAGGTGATTGGTGGCTGTCAGAGAAGCAGGCACTGGAGAGGTCGCTGGGAAGTTAGGGCTGTGTCCCATTGGCAGGCCCAGGGAGTCATCAAGTTTATTAATATTTATTTATTTTTTTGAGTAGGAGTCTCACTCTGCCCCCCAGGTTGGAGTGAAGTGGCATGCTCACGGCTACCTCAGCCTCAACTTGCTGGACTCAGGCCATCTTCCCACCTCAGCCTTCAGAGGAGCTGGGATTCAGTCGTGTGCCACCACACTCAACTAGTTTTTTGATTTATTGTAGAGACAAAGTCTCACCAAATTGCCCAGGCTGGTCTCTAACCCCTGAACTCAGGCAGTCCTCTTGCCTCTGCCTCCCAAAGTGCTGGGATTATAGATGTGAGCTACTATGCCCAGTGTTAGTTTATTAATAGTTATTAAAATTTCTTGATTATAGAAAGGTGTAAAGAAAACAAAAATGACCCATAATCTCCTTTCCCAGATAATCCCTGTAGACATGTTAGAACATTCAGAAAGAAAGAAAATTCAGTAAGTTCAGAGACAATCACAGTGAAAGCAAAAGCCACCTTTCCTGTTCAGCACTATAGAGTTGGCAGCTGCCAACAATTTGAGTACTTCCAGTAAAACATAGTATGCCTATACTAACATCTATATTTATATGTTTCAAAAGTTTCATGTTTGTTTTTTTTTTTGAGTTGGAGTCTCACTCTGTCACCCAGACTGGAGTGCAGTGGCATGCTCCTGGCCACCACAGCCTTAATCTGCTGGGCTCCAGTGATCCTTCTGCCTCAGCCTTCCAAGTAGCCGTAACTACAGGCGTGCTACCACGCCCGGCTAGTTTTTGATTGATTGTAGGAGGTCTCACCAAGTTGCCTGGGCGGGTCTCGAACCTGCGGGCTCAGGCAATCCACTCGCCGCGGCCTCCCAAAGTGCTGGGATTACAGGCTGAGCCACTGAGCCTGGCCAGTTTCATGACTTTTAAACATTTATTTTATTTTCTCTGGTCCTTGACTCAGGATAGTGATTTTTTTTCTAAAACAAAAAACAAAGATATGTGTTTCTTGGAAAAAAATTCAAATGCTACAAGCAGTTTCTTTTTTTTAATTTTAAGTATGTGGGGTACAATTCAGGGTTAGGTAAGCAAATGTTCATTATGCAGGTACCCTTGTTGATGAGATGTGCCCCCGCTCCCCTGGTAGTTTCCCACTACTGCCGATCCTGCCCCTGCCTCCCCTGGCAGTTTCCCTCAACTGTCAATCCCTTTCTTTTTTTTTTGAGATGAAGTCTCACTCTACTGCCCAGACTGGAGTGCAGTGGCTGCTCCCGGCCACCGCAGCCTTGACCTGCTGGGCTCCGGCGATCCTTCCGCTCAGCCTTCCAAGTAGCTGGAATTACAGGCGCATGCTATCATGCCCGGATAATTTTTAAATTTTTTATTGTAGAGATGAGGTCTCACCAAGTTGCTCAGGCGGGTCTCGAACCTGCGAGCTCAGGCAATTCACTCACCTCGGCCTCCCAAAGTGTGGGATTACAGGCTGAGCCACTGAGCCCGGCCTAATCCCTTTCTTATAGTATTATAATAGTTGTTCAAGGTCTGCTTATGAGTGAGAACATGTGATACTCAGTTCTTTGTTTCTGTGATAGATTGCTCAGTATTATAGACTCTTAAGTCCATCTAAGTTGCGGCGAAGTTCATAATTTTGTCCTTCTTTATGACTGTGTACTATTCCATCGTGTATATGTACTGCATTTTTTTTTTCAGTCCTTTTTCAGTGGGCAGCACAGTTGGTTCCATGTTTTTGCTGTTGTAAATAATGCTGCAATTAGTGCAGGTATCTTTTTCATAGAGTGATTTGAGTTCTTCTGGATATAAGCAGCTTCTATAATAGCCTAGGCCTCTTTCTACTTCCCTTCACTCCCCTAAGATAGCTGTTTATCTTCTCAGATTTCATTTGAATGTGAGATTACCCTGTATTTGTTAGTCTGCTACTTGGTTTTTACTCTTACTGTGTAGCATGTATATTAGAGCATCTTTTTTTTTTTTTGACTTGGAGACCTATTTTGTCGCTCAGGCAGGAGTGCAGTGACATGTTCTTGGCCACCGCAGCCTCGACCTGCTGGGCTTTGGCGATCTGTCTGCCTTGGCCTTTCAAGTAGCTGGAACTATAGGCACGTGCCAGCACACCCGGATAATTTTTTGATTTATTGTAGAGATGAGTTCTTGCCAAATTGCCCAGCCTGGTTTTGAACCCCTGGACTCAGTCAGTTCTCTCACCTCCGCTTCCCAAAGTGCTGGGATTACAAGCGTGAGCTACTGCCACCAGCTCCTTATTCTTTTTAAAAGCTGTAATGTGTTTTATAGTATGTACCTATTTACCCAAAACCTATTGCTGGGTATCCCTTGGAATAGACTCCACTCTTCCACTGTAGTGGAAAAGGACTAGTGTGGAATGCCTCTGTCTGAATGTGTTTACTTTAGAGAGGAATTTAATACAAATGAATGAGACGTGCAAATTGTAGAGGCTGTAGAACACCTTCGGATAGTAGTCCACTGCTCACAGGATGGCTCTAGGGGGAGGCTTATGGTGTGTTCTTATACCAGGCTGGGACTTGACTGGATGGAGATTCACAGCAAATTAATATTGCAGACGGAGAGACTAGCTCTTTCCCTGTAGACTTCTAGAGTAAGTGGGTGTGGAGGCAAAAATAAAAGAGGGCTGAGACTTTACAAGCTTTGTCTCTGAGGAGAGTCAGTGTCAAGGAGCAGTTAGTCTCTCTCTCTTTTTTTTTTTTTTTTTTTGAGTAGGAGTCTCACTATGTTGCTCAGGCTGGAATGCAGTGGCACGCTCACAGCCACTGCAGACTCGACCTGCTGGGCTCAGGCGATCCTTCCACCTTAGCCTTTCAAGTAGCCTGATCTACAGGTGCATGCTGCCATGCTCGGCTAATTTTTTTATTTACTGTAGAGACTGAAGCATCTTCTGACATCAAGGTTATGATTTAATGGAAGGAATTTGCAGAGAACTTTAATAGGCTTGGATGTAGTGGGAAAAACATGGTGCTCAGGACTCAGGAGATTGGAGTTCCTCAGGCCAGTCCTTCCCCTTTCTGGGTACTTTGGTTTCCTTGGTCCTTAGTTGTGGGATTGGGCTAGCCAATTTCTTGGGACCCGCCCAGTGGGAGAATTTTGAGCTTCTGTTTTACCTGCACGTATTCTGAAGTGAGTGGTAGTCCTTGCCTTCCAGGAGCTTGCAGTCTAGTAGAATTAGATGGTTAATTTCAGCTCATTTCATACCGCTGCAGCAAGAGAATATCATCTGATAAGCACGAGAAGGTGAACAATAAGAAATAGCAGAAGGGTGGGCACTCATGCCTGTAATCCCAGCACTTTGCGAGGCTCAGGTGGGAGAATTGCTTCAGTCCAGGAGTTTGAGACCAGTCTGGGAAACATAGACCTCAACTCTACAGAAAATAATTAGTTGGGTGTGGTGGCACATGCCTATAATCCCAGCTACTCCAGAGACTGAGGCGGAAGGATTGCCTTAGCCCAGGAGGTTGAGACTACAGTGAGGTATGATCGTGCCACTGCATTCCAGCCTGGGTGACAGAGTGAGAACCTGACTCAAAAAACAAAAAAGAATGAAAGAAATAGCAGCAATTCAGTTCCTCTTATAGTACCACTTCTCAGGGGATGTGATAAAACCACCACCTGGAGAGAATCTTTGCCTTAGTCACAATCATGTTCCCTCTGATGTGTGGAACCACCACTGATTTATAATTTGCCACATACTTCCTGTACGAAATCACCCTTGGGACAGCCCTTTAAAAATCTCTGTTTTTGTCTTCCAGGTTGATTCCAAAGATAGTTCTTGTAACTTTACGAACTCAGAATTTGCAGCTGAAGCTGAGGGTCAGAATGCTACGATTGAAGAACCAAACAAGGTCCAGAAAAGGAAGAGGGATAGACTTCGAGACCAAGGCTCCACAATGATCTATTTGAAGGCTATCCAGGGCATCTTGGGGAAATCGATGCCAAAAAGGAAGGGAGAGGCTGCCACAAGGGTAAAGCCAAGCACAGGAGAGCGTCCCAGCCGTGGAGAAGGACCAGCCAGGAGTGTCACAGTCCCTGCTCCTCGGAAAGAGAAAGAGCCAGCCCTGGAGATCAGAGTGGAGGAGGAAAAGGCTGTGCCACAGAGGAGTAACTTCTGTGACAGGAGAGTGATTATAGATCCTCCAGAGAAACCCAGTGAGGAGCCTCTTGGTGACCGAAGGACAGTCATTGACAAATGCTCTCCACCCCTTGAGTTTTTGGATGACTCTGACTCTCATTTAGAAATCCAAAAGGTGAGTAAAGCTCATGTCAGGCATCTGGGTTTTTAATTCTCTTGGTATAAATGTATTTAGTCTTTGTAGTTTGATCCTAGGTGTTATTAATTAAAAGCAGTACTTTACTTAATCAGGACTCCAGGAAACAAATTGATGATTCTCTTCTAATACACCTTTCAGAGTTTTTTTTTTCTTTTTTTTTTTTGAGTTGGAGTCTCACTCTGTCGCCAGACTGGAGTGCAGTGGCCGCTCCTGGCCACCGCAGCCTCGACCTGCTGGGCTCCAGCGATCCTTCCACCTCAGCCTTCTGAGTAGCCGGAATTACAGGCATGTGCTACCACGCCTGGCTGATTTTTTG